CGGTACCTCCCAGTCGAATCACTGTAGTACCTTTCTCTCATATTTGTGGTAATATTTAGATTCAAGAATTTAGTAAACTTCTGTTTTCTACTGCTTTAGGAGCAAGTTAAAAGATATTGAAGGATGAGGAAATATTCTTAATTCAAAATTTGATTGGATTTTATAAACTTCAGAATCGTACTTATTCATGGACGTAAAGGTTTCAATTGCTTTAGGCAAGATCATCTTTCATGATTAAACGGTATGTAGAGCGAGCCAAAGATCCATGAAATCCTCTTCAGTGAGGTACTTCCGTTTGTAATTCTTCAGGTATAAGTCTTCGAATGAAGATCATGGTGAAGCCTTATTCAGCTTTTCCATGCCATTGTTGTCTTCAATGGTTTCTCAACTTCTTGACAGTCAAATGGCACTTCATGTCATGTACCACATAAAGTAGTTTCTACTTTAAATGTCCAAATTAGTGAAATCAAACTCCTGATGGTTTGGCAATCCACTGAATGGGGGAAACAAGATTGTGATTTGTGCTATGGGAAATAAAACCTCCATAAGCATCAAAGTTATAACATTTCGATTCCAAGACATGGTTTACATGAAAAACTTCGGGTATTCTATGGATGTAGTATTTTACGAAAACTTTGGGTTACAAAGGTACTAAATTCGAAATTACAAGTTCGAGTTTAGTATGAACTTCTGGTTCATAAAAGGAGGTACATGTAAGAACATATAATAACATACCACTCAAGCATAGTGGACTTGGGTTGCTTCAAGAACTCAAGTGTCAGTAGCTTCGGGACTACAAAACGATGTCAACAGTTCAAAAAAGAGAAACAAACAATTGAATTGTTAATTTCCAAAAAGTGGACTTCAGACCAATAATATTGGATTTTTGTCGAATTAATGGATTGTTGGTCACTTAAATTAATTCAATAGATTGAGACCATACGTGATGAAAGCAAAAATAATGACGTTCGGGTCATATTAGCTTTGGTTGGCTTTGAGCCAAGCAAGTACTAAAATATAGCCTAATAGGAGCAGACACCCCGAATATTTGGGTGTGGCTTAGGAAGCAACTGAGTGCCAAAACGTGGTGTTCTCTTTTCTTTCAACTTTCGGCTATTGCTCTCTTTATCTTGTAGTGTTTGGTTAATTAAGTTGGATTAGAAAATTTAATTTGCTTTATCACTGAACAATTGAATATTACACGTCTAATAAGGGGGGGGGGGGACAATCATGCAATTCCATACAAAAACAGCTTACGATATAGTTTTATGATAGTGATTGGCATTCTATTAGAGGATTGCGAACAATTGCAAAGTAGTACCTTATGCTTTTGTCAACAAATAAAGGCTGCTAAAACTTATGCTTAAGTAATCTTCTTTTGTAATTAATAAGACCAAACTACTTCCAGATTTATAATTATTGGTTGTATATAAATGTTCGTATTAGAGGATTTCATCACCTCATGCAATTTGATTGCCATAAGTCGAGTTGACCCTTTCCATCCAATGTCTTTGGAGCAGTTTGAAAGTTGTGTTGTGTACATTTAATTTTTATAATTATATATATATATATATATATATATATATATATGGTGGAATTGCTTAAGGGGAGGGATCCCCATTTTTTCAAAAAAATGGGGATACGCTCCCCACCGTTGGATTTGACTTTAATGAAATCCTGTGGTTGAGATTCTGTGGCTTGTGTTTTAATCTCAACCACACAATTTCATTAAAGTCAATCTAACGGTGGGGAGCGTGTCCCCATTTTTTTTGAAAAAATGGGGATCCCTCCCCTTAAGCTCCCTGTATATATGGTAGTCCTATTCACACATCCATTTTAACTTTCCACACTCTTGTTAATTTGTTTTTCATTGATCATTTTCGGTTTTTTAGCCAAAATGGTCCTTGAGAATTTGCATACCACATCACTTTGGTCTCTGAAATTGAAAATCAATAGAAATGGTCCCTGAGATTGTCCACCATCCATTATTTTGGTTATTCCATTAAAATCTCCTTTAAGTGTCCCAGAGCTCTTGGCCGAAAGTTTGGGCAATTTTCAAAACTTCATAACTCAATCGTTTCTTAACCAAATTCGACCCATAATATATCCAAATAAAGATAGGAAAGTGTAGAATAAGATTATACCTATTTGGAAGCCCAATGGTTGTTGAAGATGGCCGTAAAATAGCCTGAAAAGTGACTGGTACGCAGGAAAACTGGAAAACTGGAAAACTCGCCGGAAATTGGGTAAACTTTAAACATTCATAACTTCTTCAATACTCAACGAAATTGAGTGATTCAAAAACGAAAACCATACTTCTCAATAAGACAAATAGAATGGTACCCTTTTTTTTATGGTTAATTTGCAGTGGTTTGGCCGGAAAACGGCTCGAAATTGGCCAACTCGAGACCAAGACAGCCACTTTTGCCACTTTTGAGCCGTTTTCCGGCCAAACCACGATGATTTAGCCATCTAGAAAGGTACCATTCTCTTTGTCTCATTGAGAAGTATGATTTTTATTTTTGAATCATTCGATTTCGTTGAGTATTGAAGAAGTTATGAACATTTAAAGTTTACCCAGTTTCCGGCAAGTTTTTCAGTTTTCCCGAGGATCAGTCACCTTTCAGGCTATTTTCCGGCCTTCTCCAGCAACTATTGGGCTTCCAAATAGGTATAATCTTGTTCTACACTTTCCTATCTTCATTTTGATGTATTATGGGTCGAATTTGGTTAAGAAACAATTGAGTTACAAAGCTTTGAAAATTGCCCAAACTTTTGACCAAGAGCTCCGGGACACTTAACGGAGTTTTTAACGGAATGATCAAAATAATGGATGGTGGACAATCTCATGGATCATTTCTATTGATTTTCAATCTCAAGGACCAAAGTGATGTGTTATGCAAATCTTAGGGGCCATTTTAGCTAAATAGCCATCATTTTCAATTTATTTGTTCCAACGAAATAAATTGAAAATTAAAAAGATATGTGAGAAGTAAAATGAATGTATAAGTAGAATCACTGTTTAATTATTATTATTATTATTATTATTATTATTATTATTATTGTTGTTGTTGTTGTTATTGTTTCTAGTTATTAAGAAGTACATGAGTTTATTTCTATATTTTTTTCAGGCCCTACAAAAGTCTGTTTGAGAGATCAATTTATGCTTTTATAATGTAATACAGTTAAACTTGAATCTTAATAATTAGAAGAATTGTTATCGTGTCTGCAAGAACTAGGGATTGTTTAGTGATGATAATTATCAGGTGGGAAACATGCCCAGAAGAGGTATAAAAGAGTATTCTCTACTTGATTCCATCATCAACAATTTCTTTTCTTTTGGCTTTGGTCAAAGGCATGCAATAGTTCAAGGAGGGGCCATGTCGGGTGGATGCGGAAACTAGGTTTACACGACCTTTCACCATAGCAAAGAGGGACACAGGTTAACCAAAGATGCTTCAATATTTCTTGGCTTTGGATCACCCTAAAACGTGAGGACGCACGACTCTTAGATTTGTGATACACAACTATACTAAGGTTTTTTTTTTTTTTTTTTTTTTTCCCAATCCAAAAGCAGTAATACTATTCATACTATGTTTTTGTACCATATTTGCATACCATCTTAAGTGGTATCTGCTATGGACAGTCACATCATTTAAATTAATCAGATTTTTAAATTTAGTTAGACATTATTTAATAAACCCATAATTAAGAAAATATGGTTAATTAAATGATGATTACGGTTTAGGAGGAGTCTTTCTCCTTTCTTCCCCTCTCACTGCTGGGTATACTGAATGGCTGCTTCTTTTAAATCTGCAGCTGGGTTTTCCCAACTAAAGAAACCACAAAAACCAAGTGCTTCTTCGCTCTCCCAATCAAGTATCCACCCTTTCGACCAAGAAATTTGCTCCATTGGCGGCTTTCACCGCCACCAAAAGCCGCCAGCCTCTCACAGACTTTCATGAATTTGAAGGAGCAGGGAAAGGAAGCAAATTGTCAGCATCTAGGTTCTTCTTCAACGCCTAGGAAAATCTAGTAAGAAAATTGATTTGGAGTGTAGTGGATATGAATGGTGTCAAAAAATTGCATGAAAGAAAAAGTGGAAGGAAGAATTAGAATTGAAAGGGAGGAATGGAGAAACTTCTTATATGCCACAATCATTATCTAATTAATCAGTTTTTTCTAATTATTGGTTTATTAAGAATGTATAATTAAACTAAAGATCTGATTAATTTAAATAATATGGTTATCCATATCAGATGTCACCTAAAGTGGTATACAAATATGGTATAAAAACATGGTCTGAATAGCATTACTTATCCAAAAGTGGACTTTTTTAATGAATTGCGTCAAAAAAGGCATGTTGGTCGCAATACAATCCATCAATGGTTATCTGCTCATTTGCACTAAATCCAAGTTCGAATCCAATTGTTGTAAACCCTAAGGAAGTTAAAAAATGTCAAAACAATAGAGGTAGATATATAACATACCAAAAGTTTTGATTTATATATAATGGTATTGACATATTTTCCACTAGTAGAAAAAACTACTTGCTCGACAAAACTTTAGGCGACGAAACACTTCGTCGCTTAAGCGGCCTTTGTGCAACAAAGTACCCTTGTTGTCACAGGAAATCGTCGTGGCTACAAAAAAAAAAAAAAAAAAAAAAAAAAAAAAAAAAACTTTGGACGACGAAAGAAGACATCGCACAATGAAGGGAAGAATTCATCGTTCAGTCTTTGGCAAAAAAAAAGCGGAAAAAATAAGATTTAACGCCAATATATCGTGCGACGAACATTTTCTTGCGCAAGGGAGCACTTTGTCTGTTCAAACTTGTGTGACAAGGTCTTTCGTTGCATAAAGTGCTTTGAGATGGTAGGTGAGACATTTAAGGTGGACAAATTACTACAAACTTTGTGCTACAAGTGCTTCGTTGCTCAAAGGGTTCAAGGGTTCTATAAATCTCATATCAGCTCTCCCTTTTCCTCATCCTTTTCACCAAACCACTCACCCCCACTTTTTCTTCTTCCCCAAACCTCTCATATCCTAATTCCAAGGTAAGTCTTTATATATCCAAATAAAGAACCATTTTGTTTCAATAATTATTTTTAATTTATAAATTGTGACTCATAAGTTGTGGGTTTTTTAATATATGAAAATTATAATGTTGTAGGTGTCCAATTCAGCTGCTGCTCAAACTAAATAGGGATATGAAGGAGAAGGATCTCGGATAGGTAATACCAAATTTTCTATGAATTTTATGGTGTGTTTTGTTGTTGAAAAAATTTATTGGATTATTATAATAAAACTTGATGAATTACTTAGTTTGATTTGAAAATTTTGTTTTTGCCTCAGAAAAATACAAAAAAAAAGAATGTCTCGCCAGACCAAAAAACAAATAATTGATGGAGGCAACGCATCAAGTTTGAAAAGCAGGCTTAAGGAAGTCGAGACGGAGACACGCAATATGCTTGCCACAACCACTGTTCTAAAAATCCCCGCCTAGCGCCGCCTAGGCCCCGCCTAGGCGCTAGGCCCTAGCCCACCGCCCCGATTAATGCCTAGGCCCCAGCCCACCGCCTAGACCACCTAGGCACCCGCCTAACCCGCCTAGCCCGCCTAGACCTGCCTAGGTTGCAACTCATTTAGACAGAAAATACATAACTTTCATTTTGCATTTTGTTTTTTTCCAATAAATTGTAAGAGACTTGTTGCATACTTGAATGAACAAACATTATATCCTTATTTCACATGTTTTCATTATGTTCCAATACTTCATGATATATATGCATTCTATTTTGTAGTTTATGATGAAATTATATATATTTCAAGTAGAAGCAGACACTTATTTACCTGAAATATGATAGATTTACTTAAATCCGCCTAGCAGCCTAGGCGCTAGGCCCCAACCCGCCGCCCGACTAGCGCCTAACGACTTTTAGAACCTTGGCCACAACATAGGGGCATTATTGCGGAACCACTACCCTACGAAGTGGTCGTTCTAAAATAAAGTGCCGAACGAAATAAAGAAGCCTTTGCTGAATGAGATATCAGTAAGTGTCAATTAGTAATTTAATATTCATGATTTAAATTATAATATATTTATTAATAATCCAGTGTTTTGTGCATAACAAATTGATTTTATTACTTATGAAAATGACCCTGAGCTGATGAATTACCTGGATGACATACCTAAGAGGCGTTATCGGGAGTTGAAGCATAACGCCGAGTGAGAGGCATAAGCACCACCAACGCAATAGATGTTTTATTTAGATGTTTTGGAGGAATAAATTTTAGCATGTAATCGGTTTATATTAACATTTGTGGACGGTGCTTTAAATATTTTCTTCATTTGTATTTGGATTAAATATTTACTTTAAGTATTTATTTGCTTAATTTGATTTACCTAGACGATTTAAATATTTTATTTAATTTAGTAAAAAATAGTAGTCAATATAATTAAATTAAGAATATATATATATATATAACTCGTGCGACGAAGGTTCTTTATCGCGCATAGAGTATTTGAGCGGCGAAAGCCATGTTGGTCACGCAAAAGTTCTTGGCGCGACGAATATGACCTTTGTTGCCCAAAGGTTCTTTGCGCGCAGCCTATCTGTCACCTAAATTCAATTAGGAATAAGTTGTAATAATCAACGATATTTACCTTGTGCAACAAAAGCTTTGTCGCGCAAAGATTGCTCATTTATAAGAATACTCAGTCATAAGAGAGGCAGAACTGCAAGATCATTGCAGCAGCTGCCTTTCCCTTCCTCCATCCCTTCAAATTCCACTCCATCCATATCTCTCCATCTTCTTCTCTATTCCACCTCTCTCTCCATCTCCACTTCATCTCCATTCCATCTCCATCTCCATCTACATCTCCTCTTCCTTCCTTGATGAACATTTTCAACCTTCTCTTACCAGAGGATGGGGAATGCACTATCTCGTGGCATTGATGCCTTCTCTTCCAAACAGAGCATGAGACAGGTTGCCATGTCAACGCATGAAGTTACAGACCTGAAGCAGTAGCTTGCGGCCTAGGACGATAAGATGAGTCAGATCTTACACACCCTCCAGTTGTCCGACTTTCAACTCCTGATGCCAACAGTTGCTCCTCAGCTACCTTTGAGCTCCCAACTGCTCCACCTAGCAACCTTAACGATCTTCTTCTCTATTTTTTTTTTTTATATATATTCACAAAAAATTTCGGCTTGTACAAATATATATATATATATATATATATATATATATATATTATAAACAATTAACTCTTTTGTTCAATAATTATTGTTTTAAATTTAATTAAAACATTAAAAAAGTAAAGAAAAAAAATTGAAAAACACATTTGAGCAATGAATGACCTTCGTCTCATAAGATTAAACATAAGGAAGTCTTTTGTCTCATAACATCTTGAACGATGAAAATATCATAATTCAAAAATATTACTCGAAAATCAAATATGATAGAACAAATTTCCTTGCATCAAGGTTTACACGACAAAATCCTTAGTCACACAAAGTCCTACCTAACGAAATTTAGTCGTCGCCAGTACGTTGACGCGATGACAAGCTCTAGTGGTTTAAAACTTTAAGCACCTACAACCGTCGTTTCCTTACATTTCTAGCGATAAAGACTTCTTTCGGCACTGGAATGTGCTTGCCCGATGAAATTTTTTTTTTCATCGAGCAAATGTTCTCTTCTCGAACGTTGAGCGACAAGTGCAGGGTGATGAAGGTTTCGTCATGCCATTTTTCACGCTACGAAATTTTACTTTACGCGATGGACTTTTATTCATCTTGAAAGTTGTTAAATATGGTAGTGTTCTCAACGTGATAGCAAATAGAGTACAATTGACTTTATTTTAATATGTACATATTACGACCTCCTCTGCACATATTCCCTTCAAAACAACAGCAATGAATTTGTGGTATCATAGTTCATCTTCTCCAAATTCGGTTGCACGGCAAACTTAATCATCGGAGGGGGCCCGCATGCTAGTGCAAGAGCACCGTCCGATCCATCGGGAATGTGCTCTCTCAGCACACTCTCCGTGATGAATCCCACACTGTATTCCCACCCTTCCTTGCCATTCTCCACCACATACCAAACCTTGAACCTCTCATGTTGTTTAGCCCAACCATCAAGCTCTTCCCTCAGCAAAATATCATCTTCCGTCCGATTTGCATACACCACATACATTTCAGTCTCATCTTCTGGGTCCTTCAAAATGGCCTGAGCCACTTGGTAAATTGGGGTGATCCCGGTCCCACCAGCCAGCATGGCAAGCTTCTTTGCAAACTTTGGCTTGCCATTGACCAAAAAATTACCACGACCAGTGTACTCTATGTGCCCTAAGGGACCCTTTATGTCTAGTGCGGCACCTATTGGCAGTGAATCCAAATACTGTGACATGATTCCCCCATTTGGGAACTTAGGGTGCACATTTTTGAAGTAAACCTTGACCACCAAATCAAAGTACCCAACTTCATCAACTGAGCTGCTTGGAGTGTAAGCCCTCATGCAAAGCTTGTCCTCAATTGTAGCACACACGAAAATGTGCTTTCCCACTGGCAATCCCAAAATTTGGTCTTCTGAAGGCAATCTGAACCTGAAGAGCCTCACGTCGTGAGAGATCGAGATCTTGGCTATGAGCTTACATGAGATTTTCTCACGCGGAATAAGCGCGACACTTAATGAATGTGTTACTTCTTTGATTGGGGCTAACTGTGCCATGTTAGAGGAAATAAGGTCCAACACTGATGTTGTTCTTGGTGGTCCGTGCACGGAGTTATTAGGAGAACTAGATGAGGAATCCGAAGCATAATTCGTGGACACCAACTCTCCAATTCTATAATCCTCAATCATTTTCTTGGCCTTTTCCGAGTGGATGGCGTCAAACTCTTCAGTGCAGTCAGTGCCAGCGTTGATGAGAATGCTATCAACGCCACCAGGGTGGTCGTTGAGGAAGCTAGTGCAGTCGTAGACATGGCCATGGACAACGATCCAGGGAGATTGAGAAGAGTTGTGCTTCTTAACATCTGACATTGAGTACATCTTGGATGCACTAGTGTTCATGAAGGGTGTTGAAACACTCTTCTTTAAGGTTGTGTTGGATTCAGAGTCCAAGCGTTTTTCTTTGGCCATCCATCCGCCTGATTGGTTTCCAGGTTGAGTTGGATGCTCAAACACTAGTCCTATCTCTCCCCTTTGTGGTTTGCACACATTGGTTTTCACCCGAAACCAGCAGTTGTTCATCATTCCCTGAAAAATAACACCCACAAATCAGAAATCAATTAGTGAAAAAGAATTAAAGATTAAAATGTCACATAACTACTTGTGATATATTTTTTTGTTAAATGTGTTTAAGTTACATCTTTGTAAGTGGTATTCTGATCAGGTGATGTACATGTAACTTTACTTATTTAAAATGCAATCTTCATCTATCAACATGTCATATTTGTTACTTTTCTTCATTAATAAAGAAATATCAATGCTCAGAATTTTAATTTATCTGCCCAATGGTAGAAAAGTTCGAGCTCCAATTTTTATATTTTGATATACTATATTCAGTTTCTAAATTAGCCTCTCTCGAGAAATTTTTCATTGTGCCCGAAATACGGGTGGTAACTCATGTGTCATAATATAAGTGGAATAAAGTTTTATTATTTAAATAGTTAATTTTTTAACACAAGTATCTCACCACTTGTATAGTGATACGTGGTATACCACTATGTATTCTGAGTACACTGAAAATACTTTCTCCCAATGAGACTGATAGAAAAAGATATCAAATATGTAGAGATGTGTGCGTGTAGAAATAAAATATACAAATAGGTGCATCTAGATTTAAAAAGAATAATGTCATGTAGGCAAATTTTTAAACCAAATTTATAAAACATTTGATGTCATTAATAAAAAATAAACAAATTAATTCTTAATTTAATTATTAATAATCACGTCATATTACGTACAAAATAATTTAAATAAATAATCCTAGCATTATACCCAAAAAAAACCCACTGACCCACCACACTTCGTGGAGTAGATTCTTGTGTAGGTTGGAGCAGCCCTATTAAACACGTATTTCTTCATTTTTTTTTCCCAGACCCAAGGATGCATGGTATGAAGTCACCAATGAAATGCAACACATTTTCAATTGCCAGGTCCACGGTTTCAATTTGGGGAAAGAGATAGGTGACAGTCTGATTTTTGACGCCACTAAAAGCCAGCCACGTATTGCCAAGTTTGCCCTACCAAATTATTAACCTTGGAAAAAGACTCGACGATTATACTGGCCTCGAGGCCCACAAATAAAAAAGAAGAATAAATAGTTGGTTCCAGCAAATGGTTTGTACTTGTAACCCTAATCCTAAATTCTAGTATTTTTATTCATTTGTTAATCACAGTTTAACACGATTATAAACAGTTTATTTATAAATTAAATTAATTCATAAGAAGGCTGAAAGTGTTCAGTATCGAGTACTTATTCATATATGTTTAGGGTTTAATTGTCCCTTAATATCGACAGTATTTAAAATGTAGAAGAAAAAAAAAGTGTGGTACTTATATCTTTACCATGACGTTCCAAATGAGTTTCTCGG